CGCCATTTTGTCAACAGATCATGCAGAAATTGCGATGAATTAAGATTGTGATAGTGCATTGTGAATTGTCATAGTGTAGGTTAAATAATATACTCCATCCGTCTCATAATATAAGGAATTTTGAGTTTTTGCTTACACGGTTTGACCACTTGTCTTATTAAAAAAATTTTGAATTATTATTTACTTTTTTTTTGACTTACTTTATTATCCAAAGTACTCTATACATAACTTTTCGTTTTTTATATTTGCATAAATTTTTTTAATAAGACGAGTGGTCAAACACTATAAACAAAAACTCAAAATCCCTTATATTATGGGACGGAGGGAGTAGAATTCTATGATAAATTTTACGTTAAATCTGTAGCTTTATATATATGAATAAGATAAGATTTTACCATCAATAATAAAATACGATTAAGAAAACATCAAAATTAACTTTAAAATTTAAAAAGTAAATTTTGGTTGTTGCTGATAAGCTGAAAAGCAAACGATAGAGCAATATCGCTTTGTGAAAGTCATGGTTCTATAATTTTATGAAATTTACTCGTAATGTACATATTACTTCTTTTAGTAATCATAAAAAAAAATTTGTCGGTTTGACGGTTGTTGCACTATATATATGCCTTGAATAGGATATAATGATAATAGCAATAGAATGCATGAGCTACATTTGAGCTTGACTACAGATGTACACCTATCAACCTATATAACCTTTAAAATACTTGCACGTAATCTCCTATCAGATCTCCTGAAAGAAAAAAAGGCCATTTCCACCCAGAAATCCTTTCAACACACTAGCTAGTATAGTCCCTCTATCTATCAAATATTGGCACGTTGTTTACCTAAAAGTTGAGCCATGATTAGCTATAGCCATCATCATATATGTCAGTATGCTCATGGCTAGCTAGTATATCTTTCAGTCCATGAATTGTAGTATAATATAATGTATTGTTGTGGCTCAAGGATTAATCAACAACTCGATCTCATATGTTCCATTGTTTAATTAGGGCAACATGCATGGGTTAATTATCTCACATGGGCATGTGTGTGAGCTCGTAATTAACGTACATGGCGCGGCCACTTTACACTACTACTCCAGTGATGGGCTGCTGATGAGACGCAGTCGCCGTTTCAATTCGTTCCAAGTTGGCTACTAATCGTCGTGCGGTTAGAGCAGGTACAATAGCTTACTATTAACCAGCTATAAACATATTTTAATGAGATAAAAGATAAGAGAGAACAGCAGCGGACTACAGATTTATAGCTAGCTACAGTACGGACTCAAAGACGTAATGTGTGTATAACAGGTGGGACCATATGTTAATAGTATAGTAAGCAACTATTATATGAATTGACTATTAGATCGGCTATAAATAAATTAGATCTAGTAGTGGGTTATACTATTAAACTTGCTATTACTAACGTTGATACGACAGCCGGCCGTACGTCCTTGGGCCTATCTCGTTAGCCGCCGTGCATCTTTTTATTCGCTCATGAAGATCGATCTAGCCGGCCAGCCATCTTATTATTTGCATCTCATTTCTCTTAAAGATTAACATCATGTGGCCATGTGGGTAGTAAAAACTACTTTCATCATCTCAAAATGTAAGTGTATCAGGATTATAAATCTGGATAGATCATATCTTATATTTTGAAACATAAGAAGTAATTAATACTGAGTTTAAACGAAAATACACTTTTTAAAGTGTGATTATTGTGGGAAGAGGAAGACCTCAAAAATATTAGATGATGATTAAATTGAGATGGATTGAGTACTATACATCTTACCAGGAGAGACCAAACTCTTCCAAGATTACTTGTTACTATTAACCATTTGACCGATTGCTAGGTTTTAGGTGACAAAGATTTTCTCATGGTCAAATCTCAGTCACTTGATCTAAATCCAATGGTTATAAAGTTATATTCCAACCTATAGCATGGGGAGAGGAAGAAGCGGGATTCATGACAAAAGACTCACCAATGATGACAACGGCGGCAACAACTTCTTAACGATGGCGTTGACGACAACCTATAGTGGCGATGACATCAAAACTCGACAAATGACATATGGATTATGTTTTAAGGTTGGGTGGTGGTGAAGTGGTAGGGGGCGGTGTGGGCAACTTTATAGGGATGGCTAAGGAGGTGGTGAACATGAGCATGCAGCAAGACTGTGACATACAACGACATTGCCACCAGAGTTGAGGGGCTAGAAGAGGACGATGGACAAAGTCAGTGGCGGGAACTGACGTTGGATTTGTAGTGATTAGAATGTGGTTGCAACGGTGGTGTCTCGATAGTGTAAGTCACCAGAAATAAAAAAAAATATATAGGCAGGACGGAGTCATCTCACTAGGTATAGGTATAAGAGAAGAGACAAGAGCGTGAGGGAGTACACCTATGTGATGGGGCTCACTGGCACAAGCAAAGCCCAGGGAGAGGGGGTGGGGGAGGGAGGGAGGCGGCGGCTTGGGTTAGGGATCGAGCTCATGTAATTCATAGGGATTCAAGCGGGGTGGGCAAGCGGGTTTTTTTTAGCCCGCTTATCTCACTTTTAATTCATTTTTTTTCTAAATTTTATACTATCATGTGAGAAATGAACTAACAAGCGGGTTTTTATGCGGGTAACAGGACTACCCACTTACATCGCTAGTAATTCAGCCGCAATTGAGAGAAGACACGCATCACAGGAAGGAAGAGGGAAGAATTAGACAAAGTTTATTGTTCTTGCATAAATCTTGATGCGATCTAGGTTGTCCAAAAGTAAATATGTGGGTACTTTTAGGTGACTAAAAACTAACATGCCCCTAAATTTTTAAATGGTTAAACTACTTCGAATGAAAGTTTAATGCTTAGTATTTTTTTTAAGAAAAACACTTTGATGAAACACCTTTTTTCTAAGGGGCTCTAAAGTATTTATATATTTTTTTAAAGAAATACAAGCGATCGAGGTTTATACATGAATAATGTCCGGTGGCAAGTACTTAAAAAACAGACAAAGAGTACAGGTGAAAAACATTATAACCAGGGAGAGTACACGACCATAGAGCTCCTGTTGGCTGTCAGATATTCTCAGTAATTTTCAGCAACCATAACGAAGCGTGACCTGCCTGCGGGCTACATTTTAGCCGTTCCTTCTACGAGAGGTTGGGCCAGGCCAACATGTCAACGAGAGAAATCCTGTTCATCTGAAAACACAAGCATCCATCTCCAAAATAAAAAGGACAGCAAAAGAAAGCAGATGCATATCATCCTGTTCGCAGCTCATCAGATCATAACAGGGAAGAACACGACATGACATGCCCAAAGGTTTCATGAATCAGTTTACTCAATTGCTCTGTACCTCATCTCTCTGATAGTAGGATTTGACTAACAAGTGACAGGAGAAACAAATGGTAATGAAGCATTTCAAACCATTTTCCAGACCACAGCACAGCATAATTTAGGGTCAGTAACATAGAACGAATTAGTCTCGACACAAAGAATAGCAAATGCATCATTCAGCAACCTCTAACACAGGTAGATAATCGCATAGTCGCATGAGATAAACAAGCCAAAGTTCCATAGGTAAAAGCGACCAGCTATTCAGACATGTACAGATGCGGCCTTCAGATAACTGGAAGACTGCAGGTTCAAGTGCAGAAGGTAATATGAGATATGCAGTGAAGCAACCGATGAACAAATACATTTCCATGAGCAGCCAGCAAACATATTCTCAACATACTTGATACAAGTATTATCCCAAAGCAAAACATTTTCCACAAAAATTTACATAAGCATCAGCAGTTTATGACTCCATAGTTCCCACAGTATGCAATATACCTTTTCATCTTTCCATGAAACATAACATGATACATAAGAACTGAGAAACTGAGAAGAATCATAACAATGCATGGCTACATATGATCGGCATCCTCTGGTCATATATGTACTGGCAAACTTTAAAAAAATTACAAACACAATGCCATCGAAGCAAATGCTAACTTCTTTTACAAATTAAACAATACCTGCTGCGGTCACAGTACATGACTCATGAGAGTAGATGGCACAAGCTTCAGAGATGGCACCATACTTCATAGTACTAGTACCAATTTATCTAGTTTCTAGTTGGCACGGCCCCCTGCCTCATAAAATTGATGTTTTAACTTCTAAGCTATACCTTTCAAGTCCTAAGTGTGCAAAATCAATACCAGGATGCATAACAGCATAAGTCAAAATAGAGTATGGTTTAGTCTTCTTGTTTATCGATGGGTCACAGAATACTGGGCAAACCTGGAATTGAGCCTAGCGTAGCAAGATACGTGTCCTATATTTTTTTTTCTTATACCAAATTACTGAAACCATATGTTTGTTCATATCTTAACCAATCTCTAAATGCCATTTATAAAAGCCTAACAGCAACTGGTCCTTTAATTTAGTAGCATGACAAATAAGGGGAAAAAGGGATGAACAAGGCAAAGATCAATTGTCTTTTGAAGACTGCAGTTGAGTATATTCAGCTTGAATGCCTGCCCTATGTATTAATACATACAAGTGAATATCTAAATGGTAAATACTCATGAGAAGTACGTTTTATGTTCTGAACATGAATTAAGTAAGGGTTGCAATCATGATACAAACTGGTAAACAGAATTAAAATGACAATACGCTGTCTCTTATAATCAGTCCAAACTTTGCACCCACCCTTCTACTTCCTCGGGTTCACTACTGATTTTGGACCAATATCAATCAACACCACCAATTCAGTATTTTCCAGTATCCCACATGCAACAGGCTTTAAACTTTTTAATGAATTATGGATTGAATAAATAGTTGGAACAACTGAACAAGTGACATGTAAGGGAACATGAACCGCAGATCATATCTAAAAGTAAAGGTCATTGTGGAATGAAATATGATAGACACTGGTCCAAAAGGGGTATTATCCAATAAATAGAACCTCACATGCAAAGTTGCTTATAGAGGTGCACCAAATGTGTTGGAGAGAATTCCAGATCATGTGTGATAAATTTATATCGTATCAATTGAAGAGACAAATAATGGCAGACTAGTAGAACCAGGACCCAAAAAAGAACTGGGCCATTAAAAGAAAACTCAGCAATGGCCTAGCAACTTCGTTGAAAAGAAAGTTAAAGGGTTATTGAAATGAAGTTATAGACAAAGTTGCTCACACAACAAAAGAAGAAAAACAAAGGATATCAACATAGTGTCAACAGCGTGTGAACTTGAAGCACCAAGAGTTTCCATCCCAAAAATCACTCAAGATAATTCTGCTACTACACCATAGGACTGTATAAATCTCGCTATCATCATCTTGGATCTACATCCTCTATCACAAGGCATCTCACCTCCGATGGAAAAAGGAACAAGACAACCTTTCTTGTGTGCCAAATGGTGTCACTATACATGATTACCCCCATAGGACAAAAACTGTATATACAAGCATTGCCAAGTTCTCTCTCCCTCATCCGAATCAGAACATCATAGCACAATTTGGAAGATTAAGAGAACTACGAAATTGCGACTCCACCAAGACCAGCAATGCGGCATGAATGAGCATTATGAGGCATGAAATATACCTCTTCCCACTGAAAAAGTAATGCTGCAACTGTCAACATGCTATTGCCTGAACCCATCAAGAGCAGCTGCCACATCCTCCAATCCAAAATGGCGGCCCCCCAACCGAACCTCCTTACACCTTGCTGAAAAGTAGAACATCAGCCACACCACCATGAAGTACACCTCTCCGATTGAGTGGAGAAATCCGCCAAGAACCTTCCCACCAAGTGTAACCATGGCAAGCTGTCCCATGCTGCCGCATACCACTGTTTGCCAGCATTTGATCAAAGTGGCATCAGTTGCCATCAATGACACAAGGTAGCATCCTTCCTTCACAGCATTGCGACCAGGCGGTCGTGGATCACGGTCCATAACAATCACCCATGGCACCACGGTGAAAAGCACCGAGACGACCGCATCAAGGAGAGCCCACGCAATGAAGAACCCATCAAGCTCTGGCCCTCCAACGGTCGCAGCGAGCCACGGGTTGACAGATGCTGAAAAGGGCATGAGCTTGGCGACGACAAAGAGCCTGAACAGCTGCGCCTGGTCGTGCACCTCGGAGAAGAACCAGAGGCAGAGCATCTGCACGATCGCGTCCCGCGTCGCCCACCGCAGGAACGCAAACCCAGTGAGCCGTCTCACCCTGAAAGCCATACCAGAGAAATGGAACCACCGCCGCGGCCGCCCCTGCAAGTGCTGCCCGGCGACAGACGCGAACACGGTGCCCAGAGCTACGGAGTGAACGGTGATGTAGCCGAGGATCGCGAGCACGTGCACGGACGAAAGCATCGCGAGGAGGTTGATGATGGCCACGGCGTCACGCCTGGTCAGGTCGAGCAACCGGAGCTCACTGCCGCCGTCTCGCCCCGCGGCGGGCTTCGGCGGCGAGGTCTCGTTACGGACAACGAAGGTGAACGGGATCGCGGTGGAAGGGAGGCGGTGGGGGAGCGACAAGGGGTAGGGTTTGGGCGATGAGGAGGAGGAGGAGGGAGTGAAGAGAAACTCGTAATAGGAGGCGTTGCGGCGTCGGGAGGGGGCGGAGGAGGCGGGATCGAGGGTCCCGACGAGGAAGTCGTCGTCAGAGAGGGAAGGGGGGGACGAGGAGGAGGAGGTGAACGGGGAGCGGCGGCGCGGGAGGTGGCGCGGGGGCGGGTGCGGCGGGGCGTGCGGCGCGGGCGGGGAGAGGCGGGAGAGGAGGGACCGGAGCGCCGGGTCGTGGTCGGCGAAGGAGGCGAGGCGGAGCGTGCCGGCGACGAGCGCCAGGCGGAAGAGGACGAGGAGGAGCGCCGCGAGGAGGAGCGGCGGGAGGGAGCGCGGGCGGAGGGAGTGCGCCGCCGCCCGCCGCAGGATCCGCCCGCCCGTCCGCAGGTCCAGGCTCGGGGGAGGAGGCGGCGGTGGCGTCGGAGGCGCGGGGTCCGCGGCGGCCGGCATGGCGGTGGCGGCGCGGATCGGCGGCGGCGGCGAGGGGTGGCGGTGGCGGTGGCGGTGGCGAGGGCGAATGGGGAATCGGGGGGAGGAGACGCCGGAGGTTGGTTGACGCGCGGGTGACGAAGGAGACCGCAGAGGCGGGCCTGGGCCTTGGTCTGGGCTGGGCTTGGATTTGGGCTTGTGGAGATGTGGAATGAGCTTGAATTATGTATTGGGCTTGGTTTAGAGGACAATCTGGGCCTTCTTCCGAATTTATTCTTGGCCCTATTTGTGAAGTTCTTCGACATGGAGTAGGATTCTTAGTCAGAATCGCACGTTCGATGAAATTACTACGAGATTAGGACGTAACATCTAATTGGAGAGGGCTCTCGATTTTGTCTTAACTAGCGACGCCTAAACACAGAGAAACGTGGAGAAGTCCATCTAATACATGGTACTACATGCATGCATTTTTTTAATATACATGTACGTCCTTTTCCTCTTCAAACAAGTTTTCTCTCAAATTACTTATCCGATTACACCATTGTGTTCGTTACAATTAAATCTTCACAACAAGATCTTACATGATTATATTAAGATGAAAAAATATTTATATTCGTAAATTACTTTTATTATATATGTAGGAGATATATATATATATATATATATATATATATATATATATATATATATATATATATATATATATATATATATATATATACACCGATGCCAGATCCGATCATCAAGGGATAATCAAATATTCCAGTATTTCTTTTTAGAAAATTCAAATTGGGTCTGGTGGGATCCGATAAGCAGGAACATGTGTGCGATCGATCTATGCGGTACGCGGATGGACGGTGGATGCGGACCAGGAGTACGTACTCCCGGGAGTACATAAACATTTTCATATATATATATATATATATAGGGTAAGACTATTCTACACCTGGGGTTCCCTCGCCCACCTTCTCGCGCGCCTCCCCTCTCCTTTTTTTTCTCCCCATCCCCTTCCACCTCTCTTTTTTTTAGAGAGAAAAAAATAAAGAAAAATTTTGCATTCAATGGGAATAGAACTCAAGACCTTCAACTCAAATTACCACAGGGCACTAACTAATAGGCTATTTCTCAATTGTGATAGAGTTTTCTTAGTAAATTTTTATCTTCTCATACGTGCTAAATCCTGTAGTATTTGGCACAAAACATGTAGTAATGGTACTAGGATGGTTGTTAGTATACACTTCAAACCATCTTACTGCACTATCCCAAATCTTTTACTACACAGCTATAGCAATATTACCATCAGAATTATGAATTATAGATTACTATTGTAACATGATATGCCATCATTGAATTTTCATGAGTAGTGGTCACCACCACGCTATTGATTATTGTTTGTATAACTAACGATTTCTAAACTTTAGTATTTACTCCCGCTCGTTACTGCTTTGTACTATATGTTACTGCAACCCCGCAGTAACAGTGTGAAATAAATATAGTAATAATGTAACTAGTGTGTAGTAACAAAATAGATATAATCCCGGTCTCTCTCTCCCTCTCATGATCCCTCCGCTTTCTCCTCTCCCTATCTCTCTCTACCCAAAAACTTGGCCTTCCTCTCTCTTTTCAAGAAAACCGGTCTCCTTCCTCCATCTATGTACTCCCACCCTTTTCGTAGTAACGCCATCATGAAATATAGTAACACGTCCGGTTACTACAAAAATATATAGGTTGTTATTACATTCAAGTGACTAGTATTACTGGTTAAAGCTTCACATGCTAACCATATACTTGTTACTGCATAAAAGTAGAAGTGTTACTACATGGTAGGTGTATGTTACCACTTCAAAGTAACTATGTTACTGCACAATAATTGTAGTTTTAATATGTCATTTTTACGAGATGAAGATTAAATAGGTGGGCTATAGGTAATGTCTGTACGTCACTTTGAGCGAGGTCTGATTGATGTAGGAGTGTTTTGAACAATTTTATACATTTGGTAAAACCATGTTACTGCATGTATATGCCCTTGTTACTGCAAGTTACACATTCTGTTACTGCATGTGGAGGGTTAAAGTTCAAAGTGCCAATCTTTGAAAAGCAATGTCTCACAAGATATATATTATTTTTTTTAAAATCGTTCCCACCATGATGCTATAGTGTTACTGCATGTAGAGGGTTAAACTTCAAAATGCATCTACGTACTCCCCTCTTCAAGAACCGTTCTTCCTCCCTCTTCTCAAGAAAACCGGTCTCCTCCCACCAATATAGTGTTACTGCATGTGTAAGATGTGACAGTAATATTGTGGTGAATTACAGTAAATCAAGAACTGAAACAAAAATATATAGGTTAAAAGTCTCAGAAGCTAACCATATACTTGTTACTACACAAAAATAAAAGTGTTACTGCACGAAAGGTACACGTTACCACGTGTTTATGCAGTAACACTACCCAAAAAATACAGTAAAACGCAGTGTAGTAACATCGTGATGCGATTGTAGTAACGTACAACAGACAAGTAGTAACAAGTAATTGTATAGTATTACTACTTGTGGAGAGACAAATTGCAAAAATGTCAAGTTTTGAATAACAATATCTCCCAAGTGATGTAAGGGCTTTTAAAACCGTTTGCACCATGATGCTAGAAAAAAAAGCTTATCAAAAGTAGATCCATCATGACTATGTTTCAATTATATTTTAACACTGTTACTGCACGTAAGACACAGTGTTACTGCATAGTGGTCGTTGTGTTACTGCACCATCCTGGGACGAGAGGTGAGAAGAGGTGGGTTTGACCGGTGGGAGGTCGGTTTTGGGCCTTGGTAAGGAGGGGGAGGTGGGTGTGACCCTTGGGAGGGAGGAGGGGTATAGAATAGCTATTCTATACCCGGGTGTAGAATAGTTTTTCTATATATATATATATATATATATATATATATATATATATATATATATATATATATATATATATATATATATATATATATATATTACTTTTAAGTTGACTAAATTACTTCTTAGACATATAAAACTTAGACATATAAAAGTAAATTTAATAGAGTCTAAAAGTAATTTACATATATTATAAAAGTAACTTAAAACAAAACGGAAGTACTTTTGTTGCGACAATAGAAGTAAATTCGTTGTAGGGATAAAAATATGACTTTATCTAGAAATTAAATTTAATCAGCACAGATCAACACACATAAGTTTAACAATTTTTAAAAGTAACTTCAATGTTAATTGGAAGTAACTTTTGCATGGTTCAAAAGTAACTCTCTATAAATCTGTTTAATCATCGATTGTTTCTTTCCTTTCATTTTTGTTTTTCATGTAGAATGAGAAAAGAAGATACTATTGTATTTTTCAAGTTGAAAGGAGATACTAGATGGAGTACAAGCTAGCTACCACTAGCTGTGTAGTCATATCCAATTAAAAAAGACATTCATTACAGTTACTTTCTTTTTGATATAAGTTACTTCTATAATATATGTAAATTACTTTTAGGCTTCATTGAATTTACTTTTACATGTCTAAGAAGTAATTTAGTGAAATCTAAAAGTAATTTAGATATATTATAAAAGTAATTTATAATTTTTCATCAGAATATAATCAATGTAAGATCTTGTTATAAAGATTTAATTGTTACAAATACAACGGTGAAATCGGATCGTAGATCGGATGAGTAGTTTAAGAGAAAATTGTATTTGAAGTATATGTGTATAATGTCTCTTATAGATGGAGTGGTAGCTGATTTAGACAAGCTAGCTACCTCTTAAAAAGATTAACTTAATTAGCTCTATTTATTTTCACTTATTAGCCACACTATTATTCTTGAAAAGATTAAGGCCCCGTTCGTTTCTTTGTAAGGGTGGATAAAATTTCGGATTCTCGTGGCACGCTTTTTAAACTGCTAAACGGTGCGTTTTGTGCGAAAACTTTCTATATGAAAGTTGATCTAAAATATCAGATTAATCGATTACGACTGGATATCCATTTTTCAAGTTTGTAATAATTAAAACTCAATTAATCACATGTTATTACCACCTCGTTTTACGTGAAACACTTAATCTTTATCTTCATCTTTATTCAGGAGATTCAAACACCACCTAACTTAGCTCTATTATTCTTTTTAGCTTATTCATCAGATAATATGGTTATTCTGTATTTCTAATATTACAATTCCTTTATTTTAAGTAGAATTACGATTTCTTTGATGCATTGCTTAAACCACTTATTTTATGTTGTATGCACAATCCGTTAACTACTCAACTGCTAATTACTCCTTATAACCAAGTCAATAATCAGCAACAGTATTTGTTTCATCCCTCGTACGTCCTCATAAATTTGAACCTATGAAGTACATATACTACTCCTTCCTTAGGCTGTGTTCCTCCCAACCCACCTCTCTTATTTTCCTCGTGCACGCTTTCCGAATCGCTAAACGGTACATGTTTTGTAAAAAGTTTATATAGAAAAGTTACTTTAAAAAATCATATTAATCAATTTTTTTAATTTTTTTATAGATAATACTTAATTAATCACGTGTTAATCTATCGCTCCGTTTTCCGTGCAGAGGGAAGGGGTTCCAAACCCCTCCAAAAGAACATAACCTTATAAAATTTAAACATAACATATATGAATCCACTCAAAATCTAAAACATCTTATAATGTAAGAGAAAAACCAGAGCAAAGCAGTACATATGACATTAGCTAGAGAGAGATACATAGGGATATGTAACTATTTTTTTTCAAATTCTTCAGTTCACCATCATGCATGGCTGGATGAGCCGATGACAGTGACTTCTGCTTGAACTGTCCAGCTCGATCCAACAACAAATCCTGCATTTGTGTTCTTCATCTGATCTCTCCGAATGAATTTGTGCCATCCCCAAGCAATTCCTTTGCAAGAAAACACGGTCCGGGCTGTGGTTCGCCAAAAAAAAACAAAAAACAAAAACAAATAAGAGATGGAGAAAGTAAAATTGATATACATGAAGGTAATTCGCCACAAAAAACAAATGGGTTGTAAATGTAAACCCTGTTTCGAAATGCGTCAAATTCTAATGCAATTGAAAACTGGAGGAGTTGA